TAATAATTATACAATTCATTTTTTTTTTTTTAGTAATTGCTGTCCTTCACAGTGAAGTTTCTATCAAAATCATGAATCCTCATCTTTATGTGGCTTAGTTTTGCTTTCAGATATTCACACCGTTCCTTCTTCTCCAGAAAGTGTGGATCCTTGAGGAAGCACATAAGAAGTTTAAAAAAAAACATAAAACATAAAAAAAATTAATCTCTTGTATCTCAGGTTTTGTAGCAGTATAAAGTCAAGACTTACATTCTTTTTTTGATCATATGTTTTCACTAAGTCTATGATTCTCTTGCTATCCTAAATAAAACAACCAAAAACAATTGAAACAACTTGTTTGAATAGTCTAATAAAAAGTAATACAGAGGCAAAATACTGTAAATGACTCCAATATCATGTCTCACCTCAGGGCTTCTCCTGTTATTGATGAGTTGGCTCATCATGCTGTCTAATTCCTGAAACTTTATTAAAGTGGCTGTGATCTCCCTGTGCAGTTCCTTGTACTCCAGGTATTGGTCATTAAAGACTGCTTTGTATTGCTCTCTGTCCTCTACAGAATGAATTTCAGGATATTTTCTGTAAAAAAATAAAATAAAATCTTTTAATTTTGTGCCATTTCATATTTTTCTTCAATATTGACACCTAATCTATTTATATTATTCTTAACATAATTTTATTTCTCAAGCCCATCTCATGTTCATCTTATATTTACCTCATTAACATCCTTTTTTTTGCAATTTGTTATTTTATATGGACCTGCTGTGTGGTTCTATTGCAATGTTTAACTGTATTTTTCATGTAAAGATGACCAAGGATTGAGATAACAGGGGGTTTTGCCCACCAGTTAGGTGCATTTCAAAGTAAACACCCAGAAATAGCAACATGAATCAAACAACACCACATGACACATTATCCATCAAGTTGTCAAAAGCCCTTTCTAAGGTTGTCTACATGTAGACCAATTGGTTTTACACCATCTATAGTCACCTAAAATATTAACAGATGGAAAAAGAGCCTGTCTAGATCCTTCAAGGGGCTTAAATGGGTTAATACCAACTGAATATAACCAACACCTGTTACATTTGTGTGGCCTAAATATATCATTTATTGTTGTTAGACCAGAAATAAACCATGAATTATACTAACATAATATAATCAGCGACGACTCTGGGTTTAGGAATGTGTCCCACTGGAATAGCTCCAGTTAAAATCTTTCGTTCTTCAGCTCTCTCTGAGACATAAGCCAGCATGATCTCATTCACAGTGCATTGATCCATTTCATCTTTGAATGAAATTTTCTTGGATCTAGTCGAGGAGCTGCCCATATTGGATGTGGATTTCAGAGTCTGCTGCTGTAACTGAAAGATAACAGCCATTGCAATTAGTACAACTTGATAACAACAGTGAGAATTTTGTGGAAACTGGGAATTTCATTAGTGTTGTTTGTAGTTAAAAGTGAAGCAAAAACCCTGTGATCACTATTATAAATTTTTTTATGAAGTTAAGAACAAAAGACTCTTTTCATATTCTAATTAATGAAATATACACACTACCTTTCAAAAGTTTGGGGGCAGTAAGATATTTTATTTTTGACAGTCACTTATGCTCAGCTAGGCTGTATTATTATAATAGTAATAATGCATTACTGTATATACTGTGTATATAACACAACAATAAACTGGTGCTGGCCCACCTGAAGGACATTAATGGACCCTTGCTGGATCCTCTTCAGTTTGCCTACAGAGCAAAGAGGTCTGTGGACGATGCAGTCAACATGGGACTGCATTATGTTCTGCAACATCTAGACAGACCAGGGACTTATGTGAGGATCCTGTTCGTGGACTTCAGCTCGGCCTTTAACACTATCATCCCAAACCTCCTCCTGCCCAAACTAACTCAGCTCTCCGTGCCCACCTCCGTCTGTCAGTGGATCAACAGCTTCCTGACAGACAGGCAGCACCTGGGAAAGAGGCTGGGAAAATACACATCCAGCACCCGTGCTGATTATTATACACATAATCAGCACTGGAGCTCCTCAGGGTTGTGTTCTCTCACCACTGCTCTTCTCCCTCTACACCAACGACTGCACATCTAAAGACCCCTCTGTCAAGCTCCTGAAGTTTGCAGACGACACCACACTATACACTTATTTATCTAACACTCATACTCGGTCTACACCTCAAATTTGCACATAATATACCTGTACATACAAAACTGTCTATTGTAATATACCTGCACATACAATTGTCAATTTATATATTTTTATTCCTTATTTACTTGTTCAATTTTTTTAATTTTTTTTTACATTTTTTTTATTATCTGTGTTTTTTGTTCTGTCACTGTCATTCTGTTACACTGTGGAAGCTTATGTCACAAAAACAAATTCCTCGTATGTGTAAACATACCTGGCAATAAAGCTCTGAAATTCTGATTCTGATTCTGATTCTTTCTGATATTATGAAATATCATTAACATTTAATTTATTCCTAAATTAAGCAATTTAGGAATAAATTCAAAGCTGAATTTTCATTGTCTTCAGAAATCAGCCTAATATGCTGATTTGGTGCTCAAAAAATTGTTATTATCAATGTTGAAAATAATTGTGCTGCTTAAAATGTTTGTGGAACCCCTTTTGTCAGGATTCTTCGATGAATAGAAAGTTCAAAAGAGCAGCACTGATTTGGAACAGAAATCGTTTGTAACATTAGAAATGTCTTTACTGTCAATTTTGATCAATTTAAGGCGCCCTTGCTAAATAAAAGTATTAATTTCTTAGAAAAAAACCTTTCTGACCCCAAACTTTTGGGAGCTCATGTAAAATGTGCATTTACCTGGCTGTTCAGCTGGCTTGTCATGGCCTCCCTGTGACGGCGGGCAGCTTCATGCTTCCACATTTTAAGGCACACCAGGAAGCTTATCAAGTACATGACCATGTTAATGAATATAAACGCAGTCCCAGCCATCTGATCCCCCTCAACATGACACAGATTAGACAGGATTGGGTTGATGCCGACTGTCATGAAGCAAAGCCCACCACGATTCAGATCATTCACATAGACGATACCTACTGCCATGTAAAGCAGCGAAAGGACTAGATTCATAACAGCCTCAGTAAGAGGCCACCATTTGGAATCCAGCAGGATCGTTCTGTAATACATTGTTAGTCTCAAAGCCAGCAGGATAACGGTCAGTATCCATGAGAGTCCAACAATGACCAACACAAAGGCTGTCAGGGGGCCATTGTAACGGTAACCTTGTGCACCAGCGAACCCATAATTTGGTCTGTAATAGTTGGACCACTCACTGTCTCTCTGAATATACGCACATACACAGGCAAAAACCATCCCACCAAACACAAGTTGAAGGCCAGCAAGTAGTCTTAAAAGGCCCGGCCAAGACTTCAGGTTAGAGTATTTTAACTGGTATACCTCTAGCTTCTCAGCATAGTACTCTGCCGGATGGATACTGGTCAGTTCGGATTCAAGAGTGTCATACTTGAGGTCACCAGTAATAGCATCCCAATGTTTTCTGTCCAGCAATGGAGAAACAGGCAGACTACATCTTGTGCCGTTGGGTAGTATTTTAAGTCCCCCTGAGGTTGTGGAATGCGATTCAGAATCAGTTTTCTTCCATTTCTTAAACAGACCAGTCCAAGATTTAAGAAAGGCACTTTTTTTCATCTTCTCGGCTTCCTTGTTGTCCTTCTGCTTGGCTGAACAGCTCTGTTTATAAGGGGAGTAGCTAGAGTCCTCAGTATTGTCATCATTGTGAATTTCTGAAGGATCCTCCTCTGAATATGCTCTGTTGAAATTTTCACTTTGTGAGGATGAGACATTATCCGAATATAGTCTGCCGAGGTCCGTCATTTTTCTGTAGCTAGTGAGGAAATCAGGGTCTAGTAGCTGTACACAGTAATCTTAGAGAACAATATCAGGCAAACTAAGAATTAAACACAAAAATATGTTTTGTTTGATCACTTCCCATTTCTCAAAAGTATTCAAAATTCATAAGAAAACAAGACATCATAATTTCATGTCCCTGCTGATAAGATCAGCGTAGTTGGTTGCCAAGCCTGTGTTGTGTTTTGGAAGCTAAAAATCCCATTGGTCTAACAGCTAACTAAATCTGGATTAATCTTTTCAGCAGGTATGGTTAAAAGTTGTATTTGTTTTTAAAGTGCATCAAGTACAGTCATAATGTATACACAACAGTTTCCAATCATCAACTAAAATGAAGCTGAACTTTGCTCTTCTAAGCATCTGTTCTGTAAAACATATCATAATCATCAGCCCTGAATACATGAATAGCACCATGACAAACATAAAAACCCTCACCTTGCTGTCAGAATAGACTGGTTCGCTGTTAGCGAGTATGGCTGTGCTAAAATGGCTTCACATAGTAAAAACAACACTGATAAAAGTGAGTCAGAGTGGCGCTGTAGCAGGAAGCCAGAGCAGAGATTAAACATTAAACCAGCAGAGGCTCAGTGAGTCTGGTGACGGACACAAACTGGCATTCAAGTACCTGCAGCCAATATTTCCCCACCAGAAACTGTGCTTGATAACATTCCTAAAACCTTCAAAGGAAACTACCCAAAACTGCTCATTTTATTTCACTGGAATCATGTAACTGCATCAGAATTCATTAACTAATATTCTTTACTCCTTGTAAGATGCAGCCATCGAGCCTCATTCTGTTATTCGGCTTCTAATCACTAGAGGGCAGTAGATGAGTATTGACTAGCATAGCTCCTGTGCTGTGTGTAAAATAATGAATATTTCAATAGATGAGTACTGATTTCACGTTTATTTCTCTAGTAAATTCAGCCTCAAAAACTTTAGATGAAAACCTAATATAAGAGAGAAATACTCATTATGTTAATAATCAAACATTATGCATTATACATTATAATTCACATCTTGAATATTTGAATTGGTAAAATCTTGGTAATTCCATATGAATATAATGGCCATTGTCATTGAATCGTTTAAATTCAGTTAAATTAATTCAATAGTTGAAAAAAAAATGAAAAATGAAAAGACACTACATTAGGTTCCACAAATTGCCACACTGGTGAAATCCTGTGGATAACCTCTAGTCAGCCTATATTTAGGGTCCCTTAAATGTCTTATCATGTGCTCAGTGAGCTCCAATACATATTTCAACTGTCTCAAAGCCTTCATAACAGGGTTACTGGAGAACAGTCTGTCGACAGTCATTTCAGCTACTTGTTGGAACTTATGGACACCTGTGTGGTGATCTGAGGAACTGCAAATTACCAGAATACTTTATATGGTATTCAGCTGTGATTACATAAATCTGTGATAAATTTCAATGGTCGTCATGTGTCTGTGTTCTGTCAATGATGTGTGTCTGAATTCACCTTGGAAAATGTCCCAAGGGTCATTTTGTCCCAAGATAGCTAACTGTGGTTTATCTTCATTCCTCTTCAATTAAATGTTTATGAGGTCAGCTCCACTGTTAATGGGCATATCTCTTACTCTCACATGCTGTCATTACCAGCTTAATGTGGCCCATTTTCTTCACTCTTCTGGGATTGCCTCAAAGATGTCCCTGTGCAACATTCTCACACTTAAGGATCTAGGTCTGCCTCCTTCAACAGCACATCAAACACATCAAGAAGTTTTCATCCTCATTTGAACACATGCTCATCCAATATCACAGTGCCACAGTGTATTCTCAAGAATTTGATATTTATTATCTGAAACATGGGCAGATTTTGTCCACACTGTAGCTTCTTGGGCTATCTCTATGTAAACAAAATAAGAGGATCTCAACATACGAGACCATGATAACCCATGCCTTTATGTACAGTCAACCTGGGAGGATACAAAATGCAAGTTAATCTCTCTGTATAATCATTCACAGGTATTTCACAAAGAAAGGCAATTAGGAAAAATCAGAAAGAAAATCATGTAGTCCAATAACAAAAAACACTTTAGTGATTTGGTGTCCCATCTACTCGCAGTTTGACATCAGAAGGCATCTGAGTCTTACTTTATAATTGGTATGTAACAACATTTAGACTGTGTTGACTGAAAGAGAGAGAAAGGCATGAACAGGGGTCATGGTCATGCAATTTTACATCAAATTATTTTTATCCAGGATCTAAATTGCACTTGATTTTGATCATCAACAGCAGCTTAAATAGTAAAGCAGCCTGTTCTTCTATTTTTGTCTACATTAGGAATTCAATTTTATGACTGGCTTTCTCAGTTCGTCTTTGATCTCTGTTTTATCCAAATCTGCTAGAAGTGCCAAGCATATTTCGACAATGAAAGCTGTGAGAATTATCCATTTTTTAAGTTTTCAGTTTAAATGTAGTCATCATTGTTTGGCAAGGTTGCTAATTTTAGGCATCGTTTGTACACAAGAACAGAGGACTGGAAATACGTAAGACCTAAACACAGTATTGACAAGACTGAAACAAGTTGGATAGGAGTTGTGATCAAGCCGCCAAATGCTAAACTATGGAAATCTTTTTCTAATTGAATAATAATTTAAATGTTTTACGAGCAAATCATAAAAAGCAAACATGCATTATTAAACGTGTTTTGGGGGAATTTAGCTTCAATCTCACATGAAGTGTGCACAAAGTCTGTGTCTTTGAGTGAGTGTGCAGCTTAATTTCTATGTGGTCATAAGCTGTATAAAATATATTAGTTTTTAAGTTAATAAGGGTATAGGCTTTGGTTAGGAATCCAATGTCTTGCAAAATAAAAATAGGCAAAAATTAAATAAAATAATTTATAAATATTAAATCAAGCAGAAATAATTACTACCCCATTTTTGCCTGATCTTATTACAAAAATCATATTTTAATCATTAAAATAATGTCTCAGATCAGGAAAACTAACTCAAATGAATAAAAAAAATAAAAATAAAACTTTTCTAAAGCAAGTTGCAGTGAGATGGTTTGCAGCCATTTACCATTGGTTCTAAATCTGTGACAATTACACCATCAAACACATAACATTGTCAGCTGCTTTTAAAGTTATGTGATTATTTAAAACCATAGATGTCAGTAAAATACACGTGAACAGGAGAGACAGATTTTAGCTCTAAGCTGCCTTAACGGTATGTTCTGAAAAGTGCAAAAGTGAGCCACAATAATGTCTTCCATAAGCATCTCCTTCCGCTCTATCAGATGTATTCTCTCAGAGAAGGTCTTCTCATGATTACAGAATGATTCGTTTAGTGTTAATTCTAGTTTTCACTGATTCGCCAATCTCTTGGTTGAGGAATTCATTTGTAGGTAGAACAAGGAATGCATTAAACATACATTACCACATTACTGCACCGCTATATTTGCAACTCTAAAAATACTATCCAATGCATCTCTGTGTAAAAAATAAATGAAATAAAACAAAAGAGCACACACATACATTTGAAAAAACCATCCATAATCCATTCGTCACAATTGCACTGAAACATGCAAGGTTTAAATCTCAGTCCTGTCATACATTTGTGCCTACCACAGCATTTAGCACTCTGTGCTGTCATTTCAGATTCAAAAACGCAGCCTCTCGGTAATGTGAACATTTCTGGAAGCTCAGATTTTGTTAAAATGAAAGTGTTACCAGCTTGAGTAGAAACTATTCCTTCTTTTATTTTCTTCCTTCCAATATTTCTTTCCTTTTTTCCTTCCTTCCTTCCTGTCCTTACCTCCTTCCATCTTTTCCTTCCCTAACTGGTGGAAGTATTGAAAGGCTTCAGAAAATAAGAGAAGACTACGACAGAGTTAATGGTATTTGTTAAGACAGACAAGTTAAATGTCTTCAAGAGGAATGTATCTGAAAAAGGAATGCAATGCTTGTGTTAACATTGTACAAAAACTCGCTCCAAAATTTGTAAATGGACAACCCTCCACAATCTATACATTCAGGCACTGAAAAAAATAACATGCCAATATGTAACTAAAAAAGGTTAGTTGCACCCAATTTCCCTTAACGGAGCAAGGGAACGGAATCCTTAAGGTTGGCATTCCTGCATTATTCTACTCAGTAGTAAGGTCATGTGCTCCTGCGTCTCCAGCTAAATGCTGAAGTGATCTCAAAGCACCCCGACGTGTTCTCAGTGCTCATCCTGGCACAGGTGTCTTACAGGACCAGTGAATCTCTTCTATGTGGGTGTGTCGCTCCTTTGTGGTCTGCGTTGGTTCACTCTGGCAGGCATTGCTTGGGCCCACCTTTCCGTGGATCCCGTGATCTCGCAGTATGAAGGACCAGTTTCCTGGACTCACTCCAGCTTCCTGAACTCAGTCTTGTAAATATATGAGGGCTTTACAAAAAAGCTAACTTGAACAGCCATACAATGGCTAAACATAAACCATATATCTACTATTTTTGATAATTCTTCTCTACTTATTAACACGAGTCCTCAATCTCGGCTTGATCATCTTACGTGAATAAGTCTGAGACCTTTGGAAGCAGCGAGCAGGTCCAGGCCCGCGTTAGCCGCTGTCGGAGGAAGTGTGCGGGGCAGTGGAGGGCGAGCGCCGCCGTCTGGAAGGGGTCCAGGAGCGTTCCGAGCCCAGCGAAGCAGGGCAGAAGCGGTGCACGAAGCCATCCAGGAGGTCCTGCTGCTGCTGAGTTATGGCTTGGGAGATCAGACAGGGCAGAGCCTGCAGGCTGCCGGTGACTGCGTCCAGCTTGTCTTCCAACGTGCCAATACGCTTGTCCAGCTCCTCACTGCGTTCCTGCAGCTCTGACACCAGGTCGTACATCACATTTTGAGTCTGGAAGAGTACGCAGAAAAAAAAGAGTGAGATCGAATTCAATCAATCAATAAATCCATCCATTTCATAAATCTTATTTTGTTCAAAGATAGATTAGTATTGCCCTTCAGAAGCTACAAAACTTGTTCCCAAGAAAAAAAAATGTATACAATTTACCTTGATCATTGTGTTCACAAAGTTTTCACCCCCCAAACTCTTAATGTACTTTGCTGCTTTTTTTATTAACATCAATTAAGGTTTGCACCTTTTGTAATAGTTGTGTATGAGTCCCTCAGTTGTCCTCAGCATAAAATGATGGCTCTCAAAAACTATACAGTCATTGTTGGAAAGGGTTCGAGTATACATAAGATGCTGGGAAAGCAAAGACCTTGAGGATTTCGGTAGGCAGTTTAACTGCTCAGGACAAACAATAGACTCATGAACAACTATTAAATAAAGTAAAAAAACAAAAACAAAAATGGATTGTGGTAACAACACACAGCATTAAAAATCAAGAGCAAGTAAACTTTTGAAAGGGGTAATTTTTTTTATAATTTCAGCTATTATCTACATTTACATTTACATTAAATTTACATTTATTCATTTTGGCAGATGCTTTTATCCAAAGCAACTTACAGTTGAGGAATACAACAAGCGATTTATCATAAGATGGCAATAAACACAAGAAGTGCCTGTTAAACAAGGTTTCAGTCATTGTTCAAAACAGTAAAAGCTAGGACAGGAAGAGGTAAAGGATAATAATAGAAAAAGTGAAGGCATAGATTTTTTTTTTTTAGGAGGCAGTCAGATGCTCACGGAAGAGATGAGTTTTCAGTTGTTTCTTGAAGATTGTGAGGGATTCGATCTAGTACAATGGACTGTATTTTTAATGATCTCTCTTATTTAGTTAAAATGATTCATATTTTGCAGAATCTGTGAAGTATATGTAAACTTTTGACCACAGCTGTTTTAATCCTAAGCTATCTGGTCGACTAGCACAACTATTTCATTAACTGACATAAAATTAAAACTACTGAACTAAAATACTTTAGTTACATTTTTAATGTTACATTTTAAAGCTTTAAGTCTCTACAAACAACCTGCATTTAACATGAAAATGCCACTACATAGAAACAACACTATGTTAGCACATGTTGGGATCTCTAAAACACTAAAACAAAAAAATGTTTAAATTAAAATAAAACATTGATAGAAGAAAACAACTAAATTAAAAGACCAACTGAAAATAAAACAGAAATAGAAAATAATTTAAAAAAATTCAAAACTCGTTTGTCATTTCTTTGTTCCACATTTACCAGACCAAATATTCCGCTGCAGCTGAAATGATCCTGTGGTTACATGCACAGTATAAAGCCTTTAACATATACCTTCGCCAAGTCCACCAGAGTGTTGGCCTGGTCATTGAGTTTCCTCTGCTCCATTTTCACACTGCGGAGCCTGGGAGGAGGCAGGGTTATGGAGGGATGGGGGGTTGGGAGGAGGTGGACGTTAGGGAAGAGTAACAGATTCCTGTCAGGAAGACTTGATAAGGATGAGGGATAGAGAGAGAGTGGCCTACATGCAAGCATTCACAGTCTTGTTTGCCATACCAGACATGCAAACCCAATCTATGAAATGTAAAGAAGAGAAAACTCTTAACTTAACGTTCAAACATGACACATCTCCTTTTGCCCCTGCAGGCACGCGTCAACCATTCACAAAAAAAGCCATCCGAGAGCCTCGTTTGTGAATGAGGTCAAAGGAAGTGGCAAACAGCTGAGGTAGAGGTATATGTGACACCGCTGAAAATGCTTGTGAGAATGGCATTGCTTGCTGTGGGCTTGGTTCTGAACAAAATTTTAAAAGAATGTGTTAATGAATTTTTTTTTAATTATTTGTGCCATAGCAACTATGAAAGAGTACAGGGATGACTCTGACCATGAGGAGACATTGTAAGAAAGGCTGCCTTAATATCCTGCCAGTTAAGTGTCGTAATTAAAAGAATGCGAGTCCTCCGCTCCGATTTGTCATTCGTTGGCAAATGCCAAGATTTGAAAAATGTAGCTTTTGTTTTTTTTCTTTTCAACCTTAATGGATTTATTTGGGAGTATCCAAAATAAAAATCTGGAGATGCAGGACATGGCCAGCATTCTTTCTAATGCAAAAACTCTATATCATCTTGCATCAAAGCCCTGGATGACCCTAAATCTCGAAGAGAACACGGCATCACCTGAACACGTTTTATAGAGTTAATAGAGGTTAATTGCAAGACTATTTAATTTAAGTCAAGTGTGTTTATGAATGTCCTGAATATCTTGTCCGACATACTGAGCTTATTTTTCCTCTGGACACACAAGGTGGGGCTATCAATGCAAGTTAATACAGAGATTTACTTTTGAATAATGGATTCGGTGCAAATGAACAAATCAACAGTTCCAAAGATGCTTCTCCTTCAGAAGGTTACATAAAACCATACAGCATTAAATAATGTTGCATCTTTTACATTCTAGATTTAGAATGGAGAGAAGCATTATAGGTAACCAAAATCAGCATTCAGCTTCCAACTCCATGCATATGAAACAGAGACAGGAGGATGTGGGGAGAAAAACACAGAGGACAAAACTTACTTCTGAGCTCTGCAGTGATAGAGCAGAACGAAGACAAAACACAGTTCAAGTTTAGAAACCACAACATATACACAACATGTGAGCCATTACACTGCACTAACCATAACCACAAGGTAAGGGTTTGAGGAGGAAAGGGGAGAAGGACAAGCATCACATTACAAACAACAACATGCTGACAGATTCTCCTGAAAAGTTCAGAACTCATTGCTAATCTCTTCGACACTTGATTGACAAGAACGTATCATACAATTATGGGGATCAGTGATTTTGGGAACTTGGATTATCAAATACCTGCCCCTTCTAATTCAACATGACTTTAGAAAATATACGACAGTTCCTTAAAAAAAGAGACAAACCCAAAGCGTTCAAAACATGAAACAGTAGTTTCTTGAATTAGCGTAAACATACAGTTGAACATCCATTGAAAATATATATTCACAAAATAACCATATGTTAACTTTTAATCATAATCTTTCGATTTGATAAACGTTACTGTTCAAGGGATGATTAATCATAACTGCAGTTCACTATCATCAAAAACATAACATGCAAAAATGCTGAAGTGTGGAAACATTGTGCTTACTGGTGAATGGCCTGCAAGAACTTGCGCTGATGTTTGCGCACTTTGGCATGATCTATCTTCTTTACTAACTTGGTGTGTTTGTAGATGAGCCATGTTTCCCTGAGTACATTGGCAGCTGTGTTCTTTACCTGGGCGAAAATTATGAAAAAGAAACATTACTCACAGATGAAAATAATGAAGTATTTAGGAAAAAGAACAATACATGACCATTAGCCATAGAAATTATGTATTTTCCAGAGAAGGAAAGTTAAAAACAACATAACCATTTTTGGTTAAAAAATGATACATATTCTTTTCTAATAAATACTGTACTTAACACAAATGGCTAGTTCTTTCCCAAGTTTGCAAAATAAAGTTCAGTCACTTACTCGTTTACAAAGTTGGGTGTCCATCATGAAATTGTGGACGTGTTTCTCAGCTTTTGTCAATTCTAACTTTCTGGCTACCACTGCGACTACAAGTGCAGTGCAACCAGCTCCCTACAAGAAGAGATGATGAATAGTATCTATTTTCAACATATATATAAATATTCAAAATGTGACAAAAATCATGTTAATTTCACAAATGTAACCTAAATTCTATTTGAAATGTTGTAATTCCATTTTAAAGACATACCATGATTCCTGTGAGCAGACAGACCCCTTTCCCACAGTAGGTATGAGGAACCATATCTCCATAGCCAATTGATAGGAAAGTTATGGAAATTAGCCACATAGCTCCAAGAAAGTTACTAGTGACTTCCTGTTTGTCATGATACCTAGAATAGTAAGAACAGAATAGGCAGAGAACCTTGATCAGGCTGTGGAAAACAAGGCTTAATGTTTAATTATGACAAAACATTTTCAAACATTTCTGGTGAAATATATGTAAAATATATGTAGAATTTGGTCAAATTAAATCAACATCAGGTCTTTGATGACAGTTTTTCTAGTAATAAGAAGAAGAAAAAAACACAAAGTGACAGAAAAACTTACCAAATACCTTAACGGATAAGATTTAGTATTATTTAAATATTTACATGCTAATGTGTTTTGTACCTTCCCAGACACAAAACAAAATGCAAAATGTTCTGCTTCAATATCCTTAAAGTGAAAATATAATAATAATAAAAATAAATAAATACATTTGTAAATGATTAAAAATATATAAATAGCTAAATATATTTGATATCCTTCAAAATTCTAATTATTATGTATTTTCCAATAGGAAATTAAACAACTAACACAAGTGGTCAAATAAAGCATCAGTTTTCACTTTGCAAATCAACAATACTCGACTGTGAAATCCAGTCCACAAGTCAGTGAAAAGATGATCCAATTCAGCTAAAAACTAAAAAAAAAAAAGTTTAAAACTCCTTGGAGACAAATACAAATGGCCTAAATCGTGGTCCCCAGACTAGACTATTGCTAGCAGCTCATTCACATATCTGCAGGAGGTTGACCTTTCCCAGCCTGTCGAGGAGGAGCTAAGCACAGGTCAGAAGACATTTATCTGCATTTAATACAATATGGGAAGACTTCTGATGAGGAATAACAGAACAAGACCCAGGCTCTTCAACAGTCATATTGAGTAGCCGGACAGAACGCAAATGATTCACAATGTTAATAATTGTTTCAACACCGAATCATTTCTAATCAAACACATTTATATTGCAATAAAAAAAGTTAAAAGTTCGTAAACGTCCCCTCTAAGACAGCATACTCAAAACACAAGAGAGGTCATGCTGCTATCAATTGCGCCTGTCTATTTCACAATTCAACTCTGCGGTCATGCTCTAAGAGCAAGAGTGTTGAAATTGTTTTTTATTGTTTAATGTAATGGGAGAGCCCCATTTTCACATGCGAAAAGCATAGTTACCATGCAGGCATTTTAGAGAAGAAATCCACATCCTGCATGCTGTATAAGCCAGTATATTGAGAGCAAGATACAAACCCTATAATAAAACTGACCAACATATTGAATGAGAACAAAAAATAGCTTTTAGTTTACACTTGATCATTTTTCAAAAATTCATTCAGGTATATGCAGGTTAATAAAATTTGTTCTAGTGAGGGATGATTCTCATAAAATTAAGATATTTGCCCATGTGCTACATCACCATTGTGAAACAACGCACAGTGCTGGCACAAACCATTCTGATATAGGTTCAGTCATTTTCAACTGATCTTTTTTGAAGCTGGTGTCAGATCTCAGAGGTAGAACAAGTCCTCGGCATACCAGATTTTTCTCTCAAAGAACTCTGGTAAAGACTCTTTTACATCAGACTTGCATTCTACAATTATCTCAACCATAAACTTGTTCTTAGAAGCCCGTTAGACTCTGACAATTCACATGGCACAATTTTTAGAAGAGGTCATATCCTGTGAGGTCTGTCTGTTTGCACACATGAACATGAATATGCAATGCGGGTCTGATCATGACTATGCACACTGTCTTCATCATTAGCTTGCCTTTGCTTTGACAGTGTAGCAGTGCATTACCATTTCCCTCACTGCTGGTAATCGAAAGTAAAAAAGCTACATACTGGCCTTCTAAAGCTCTCAATATACTGTATGCAATACTAGCATAAAATGGAGAAGAGCTGGCACCACCTTCAACTTAGATCAAGAAGTCTATCTGAAAAAAAGTGTTTCCCCACATACCCCAGTCATATCCCAATTTCCCATAAAACCTCTACAGATGGTTGTTTAGTAGCAAAACTCACAGAACCCAGCAATGTCGTTCCTTTAATGGCTCAAACTCTGCAGCATGGTTAGAGGATGCAATGATGGAGCAAATATAACATTTTCACCCATGTTAACTAGGGATGTACAAAATTCTGGTCATTCCTGATAAGCGGATAATTATTTTCGTGTTATGGTCAATAAAAACTTAAATAAATACAATTAGAAATAAATTTAAATAAATGTTTGTACTATTTTGTATAAATTAAAACAAAAACAACTTAAAATGTTGTAATTAATTTATTAGTTTTTTTAAAGATTAACTTTAAGTGAGCATTAGATGATGGAAATCTAAAAATAAAAAAGAGGGGAAATGATTATGTACAATTAAATATTCAATATAGCCTGATACAAATAAATAAATAATTTTTTTTTAAAAACACTAACATCGGTTGATAACCAATACAGCCCTGATATATTGTGCGAAATCTACAAATACAGCAAATTAATAAGCACAACTAAATATTCAATATAGCAGAATAAATTTAAAAAGCACTAATATCGGTTAATAACCAATATATTGTGCATAATCTAAAAATACAAATAGAGGAAATTAGTATGCACAATTGAATAGTCAATATAGCCTGATACAAATAAACAAATAAAAAACACTAATATCGGTTTATATGGTACCGATATATTGTGCAAAATCTAAAATTTCAAATAGGGGAAATGAGTATGCACAATTAATTATTTAATGTAGCTTGATATAAATTAATTTGAAAAAAACAACAACACTAATATCAGTTCATAGCCAATATGGTACTGATATATTGTGCATCCCTAATGTTAACTAAAAGTGTCACACAGTGGCAATGCCACCACATATAATCCCATAGTTTATCCCCCCATCCCCTTACATAGTTGACTTTATTTTCAGCTCACACTGCATGTTAGAGGCTTCAGTGTGACAATAAAACCAGGCAAGGTTCAGACACAATATTCCAGTTCTCTGGAGGAAGGTAACATGCTTTGGGCACAAGTAAAACACAGTCATCAGGACACGTTTTGTAGAAACAGTCCTTCTAGCAGGTCTTTAATTGAGCATATGCTGTTAGCGAGCTGGTTTTTACTCAACTTCTGATTTCCATCCTTAAAACAACACTGCAGTAACTGTGTGCACCAAAGACAGCATACATGGAGATACTGTGAAGCATCTTGACAAAATCGAAGGTATCATATTATAATATACCTTCTCAATAGCCTGCAAATGCTCTATTTCTATCAAGTCATATCTTGCTTTTCTGTTATCAAACTTTCAGCTACAAGAAAACGTATTTGAGAAGGAGATAAAGAAGGAATGATGCATGGAATTATACGTACATTTGGGGAAAGGGCCTAAGAGAAGGAAACTGCCTGAGTCATGCAGAATATTCAGGGAAAAGTGGGCAGGGTGGGGGCGGAAACAGGACCGAGAGATGTGAAGCGATGAACAGGAGGTACATGAACTCAAGTGTGAATGATAAGCCAACGTTGCAAATAGCAGCAATGCTCCTGCAATGTCCCAGCCCTTCCTTCATTTTCCCGTCCCTCCCATTCCAGACGGACTCCGTGCTCGTCCAGTCTCACACCGTTCTGCCCTTTGGGCTGGCCAGTGTGCTTAGAGAAAAGAAAATAGTGCAGTAAAAGGCCCAATTTAGCAGCACTTTGGAGAAACGAGCGCCTCTTTTGAATGACGGCAAAGCAGTAAACATGAAGACTACCATGCTGTTTCATAGTTTACCAGAAGTGGGCACCCAGTAATATAGCATCCTAAAACCTTGCTTTCTCTCGTCTCTGAGGAGACTGTACTAGAATGGACAGCAACATTCCACCTTTTTGTGCTCAAATTGTCATCTATAAGCGTTGTTCAACTGCTTACACACATTTTCTGTCTGGTAACCAAAAAGGTTTAAGATAAATACACATGCAACAAACATGTGACCTGACCGTTACAGCAACCTATACTATAAAGATGCAAAGAAAAGCACACGTATCAGTTTAAATATAAAGGTTTGTTTCACAGGTATTTATGAAGCTCTCTTTTGTGCTGGGGCGTATTACAGTTCAATAACAGCTGCTGAAGGAATAATCGGGAAAAAAAAGAGTTGCCCTCAGGCCTGTTTGTAAAGGTGATTTGAAGGAGCTGCTCCATTTTAACACAAACTCCCTCCTCCTCCTCCTCCCTCCTACTCTTGAGCACTTTAGAAAGAGACGCTTGATTCACAGTGCTGCACAAATCATAGCTTTCGAGACCATTAGTCCATTTGCTATCAACAAACTTCTCTTTTGCGGATGGTGCCACATTCACACATGGTTTTTTCCTTTGTTTTTATCAATAAATGAATCTATTGGAGTTTTTATTTTTCATCCAGAGCTGCCGAATCCCACCCCCTCCCCCCTCTTAGAGCAGCAGTGGCACCAGCTCAATGAACAATGATAGGTTTTCCACGGCTAGAGAACGAGGACTCACATGGCATCCCTATGGAGCAGCATAGAGGGGAAATAGAAAGTACAACAGTGAATTATAGTCACAAACACACACACGAAACCTCTTCCCATACGTTTATACAGGCACGCATATGCAACGCAAATTACTCACGCAAGAAAAAAACCAGAGTGTGGGCAGCATTGTGCCGTGCATTGCAGCCGATGAGACTGGGGTGCAGAGTGCTGGGTAGTGGTATGGTGTAACATCAAAACCTTCACCTCGTTTACCACTCCAAACTCTTCATTACATTATCATCAGTCTCTTATAAACCCACAAAAGTGAAATATTGCCAGAGACTGCTGCTTTTGTGAACAACCTTTCAGAAGCGAACCATCTTTCTGCCACAGAGATGAGAGTTACTGACACCTCTTCTTGTCATATCTTTTCTTTGGCAAAGCATTTTTTTGTTTGCCTTACACTCTTAAAAAAACAAAGGTTCTTTACTGGCGATGATAGTTCCATCTAGAACGTTTAACATTCATGCAAACTGTCCATTGAATATATGGACAGTTGAATATATGGAAATATATTTCACACTAATAAAAAAAATGGTTCTTTTAAGAGCTGTTCACAGAAAGGTTCCCAAAATGGTTCTTCTATGGCATCACTACGAAAACCCCCTTTTGGGACCTTTATTTTTAAGAGTGTAGATGGAAAGAGACAATTGTTGTATATTAGGGCTAGGTGTCAATACATATTTCCCAGTTTGGTTCAATTTCGATATTTTTTTTTTTATTTGTTTAAAAAAGTAATTTGTAGATTATTGCAGTCCAACTCATGATACACACCTTTTGAAAGTATCAAATTCTCTGCAAACTCTGGTAAAATATGACTTCCTTTGTCGTAGCTTACAGTAAAAGATCTATAAAGAATTTTTAAGAATTTGTTCAAATGAAGATCGCAAGTAATCTGAAAATCACAACTTTTTACTCAGCTCTATTATATATTCATACTAAATTTGTAGTGCCCCGTTCACACTGACAGCATTTTATAGGCTACTCTTCGCCGCTAATATTCGCTGTGTCATATTATTGGTGAGCTGCATAACTGGCCATAGCTTTTGAAAATCTTATCACAAATGAAATGTATAGCCAGTTTTCTTTCTGCTAAACATTTATTTAGGTAAATGTTTGTATATAATTGCCGCAGTTCATAAATGCATCATACAATTAACAAGACAAACAATTATCAGTGTATGAATCAAATTGCTCACGGTAACATTAACATCTTGCCTACAGTATCTCACGGGAGATGGATCAAGTGAAACTCCACTGTACTCCTATTAGTTGTTGCCACATTGCATCACCTCATTCGTGTCTGCATAGAATAAACATTTCTCAATGTGGTCGTATCACTGGAGATTGGCAACTCTCACTGAAATCGAATAAATTTAGGCTGGTTTGACATTGCGAGTTGCTGACAGTGTGAATGGGGCTTGAAGTTTCTGCATAGAATTGAATGAATGAATTATGTTTAATTCTGGTTAAATTGATCGTGATACAAGGCATGTGTTGGAGAGGTAAAGGTAAGGAGAAGCAGGTAACGCAGGCAGGAATGGTAAAGACAGAGTACAGATAAAACAGTTAATGATCACTGTCTTTTGAATCTAACCCATCCATCACAGTGCTGCTTTAGCCCAACAAGGCTCTGTATGTCCATTTCCTAATGTGCCTTAATATGTCGAAATCTACACTGCCTCATGGGATGAGATCATGATGATGCAGTTTTTGAAGTGGGTATCCTCGGGGCTCCTCAAGATTACCAAAGCAAACCATTCCGCAAACAAACAATTAGGCAGTCATGAATTATTTAACAATTGCTGATACAGCTTACAAAACATGGACTGGGATTTGTGGTGCAATTGCAGAGCTGATGGGAGAAAAGCTCTTCATACAGGCAGCGTGAGACTGTTGGAGATGCTCCTGGAGGGAATGAGTGAGTGGGAGATGCAGAGAGGAGAGCGAAAGACAGAAAAAGAGAGCGAGAGAGAGAGAGAACGAGTGGAGGGGAGGGGTATAGCTGTGTAGCTCGGAATCACAATCGCTGTGGTGCCATACCTCTCACAGACCCGAACGGTCCAGGCCGCGATGATCCAGGAGGAGATGCTGAAGACCAGCAGCACGGTGCCCGGGCAGATGGTCATAAGGGTCTTCATGACGAAGCGCGTGTTAAAGTTGATCTTGTTGAGGGCACCTATACTGCGTGAGGATGCATCGGTGAAGAGCTTGCTGTGAAGGAGCATGACCCGGCCAATCAGGTAGAGGCGGAGGAACATGGGGATGGAAAGGATGATGTCTACGTCGGCGTCTGCCACGGAGGGCACGTAGGTGAAAGCCAGCCGGGCCGTCCATGTGAACACGTACTGGCCCGGGATTGGGTGAATGGCACACACCAGCAGCTCCAGGACAATGAAGAAGATGCGCTCATATGTCATGGCTATCCTCCAGTCATCCGCCCCATTGTCCACCATGAACAGCTGTGGGGAGCAGGTGAAGAACAGGGTGTATTTAGCAGAGCAGTTAAGAGAAACTCAACTCAAGAAAAGAGTTCTGCTGTGGAAGTAATGTCAGGTGATGCCTTAAAGGTGAAGTGTGTAATTTTTTTGATGGTAAAAATCTTCTTGTATTCTAACTTAGTACATACAGAAAGCTATCAAACCAGCCTGATTGATTCCCTCAAAAAGTGTAAACACTCACTGTAAAAAAAGGAGCTGTTAAAAAAACCAACAACAACAGAACAAAAACAAATAAAGCAACATGATTGATTAAGATTTTTCAGTTGTGTCTGACTACTTCATTTTGCCTATTTGAATTGTATTGATCGCTAAATGCAAAAATCTTGTTTAGCCAATAAACTCGTAACGACCAGGGTTATTACAGCTAACAAAAAAAACGTAAAAATGTCATTGCATGAAATAAAATAAACCTTAACTGAAATAAAATAAAATATAAAAAACTTAAACATATTTGATTTCAGCTAGTTGCCAAGACAACATTTCTCAGTTTCATTTAGTTTAATTTGATGTACTAAAATAACTAAAATTGAAATAAAACTAATTCAATATATAAATGAAAAAATTATTAAAATGACAAAAACACACAACAAAATAACTAAAACTTTAACTAAAATTTAAACGAAAACTGAAGATATAGCCTAAAAATAAAAACACCGTATTAATATTAATGAAAGCTATAACAGCATATCAATGATAATAAAATAACATTGGTCAAGGCAACTGTCACGAATTCGGTCCATGGACTTCCGTTTATTCACCACCAGAGGTCACCCTTTCCATTACATTGACTCTCGCACTACACAAACTGTTAGTCACAACTGATCGTCATGAGTCGAGTCTAGTCACAGTTGATCTTCCTGAGTCGAGTCTAGGCACAGTTGATCGTCACGAATCAAATCAAGTCACAGTTTATTATCATGAGTCTAGACACGTCTCACGTCTCGTCAGCCCCGTTACAGCAACAATGCATTTCAGCTTTAACAAAGTTAAATTAGCAAAATTTTAATCTGCCATGTTTCTATTCTTATATATAGTTTCTATTAATATTTATTGTTTAAAAAAATCAGTTTTCATTTTAAGTCAGTGATAGTTTTCTGTATATTACCTTTATATTTGTATAAGCACATAGATCTCAGCACTTCACACATAAACCTCAATAATAACAAAATCAACAACAACAGCATAAAAACCATCAGCAAACAGCAAAACAATAATTATATAACAGTAACAGCCAAATGTAGTCATGCTGCAACGCATGCTGGGAATGGACAAACCCTTAATAAAGCAGCAATGCTGATCAATATGAAACTGCTGGAGTGGGAGTGTTTAGAAAAACCTGCTCGAAAATATTTTTGAATTCTGTCCGTTGATCTTCATCACACATAAATGACACATTTCACCTTAAAATTAGCATTAATAGATCATTAAAATACTAGACAATCAAATTTTTATTCTTGATACTCAAGAACTAACCTGTATTTCCCGAGCGTGGTACATTATTATAAGACCAAGCAAAATAACAGTGGAAAGGCTGATAAGGCATTTCAGTGCAAATGAATATGAAGATTCCTGCAACAAGAGAAATGAAACACACCATTAGTATGAACAAACACAGCACACAATCTTGCAGCTTCTGCTAAAGTTATAAAATCATGCTTACTAAATGATACATTTTTGTATGAATAGACGCTGTCTAAACCATCTGCGTCACAATACACTGCAGTGCTTCATCCTGGAGGAGTTAATCCCCACTGTGTCAGGAACAAAAAAATCACTTTCCATAATATTCCCCATGGCAACAAATGAACCTCATGCAATTGGGAACCAAAACATCTCATTATGTTTGATATAAGGTTTACTCTCTTTATAAACTCCCTATGACATACATTGTCATTGAATGTCCTGTCATCTCAGTTTAAATGTGTTGGTGGGGGTGAGGGACTTGTTGGTTGAAATGTTAGTGTTGTACAACAGATTATTTGTTGGATTACAGATCAGCATGTTTCATACAGACTGGAGTAAGAGGTAATAAATGGTAAGGTAAATGTAGTTCAAATGCCAATTTAAGCCATCAGGCAATAGTCAATAACCCTGTATTTTATGATGTTGCGCTTAAAATTTTGCCTTTATTTTTTGTTTCATTTTTGTTTTTTACCTTACTTTTTTGTCATTGTAGGCACAAAACAGGCTATCTGTATGCAAAGATTCCCAAATCAAAATTTTCTGCCAGTTTGAGAAACTCAGCAAAGTGTGCATAATTTATATAACCACAGAAAAGCAATTAAAAGATTTAATTTTAACAGTGAAATTAGACTCCCCTCTCCCTTACCCCTTCTAATTTAACCCCAGGTCCCAATGGTCCCGCTACGAAAAAAATTAGGTCTGAAATTGTTATAAATTTCCCGAGTGACAAATTACATAGTAAACTAATTAATGTACCTGTTGGTCACCGCAAGGTTTTTTTTTTTTTGAAGGTCAGACTCCTAACAAACACATCTGGAGTGCCTTTCTTTCCTGATGACATTCACATGCCATTGTTCCTTGCTTTTCTTATTTCTATTTTTCATGCAAGATCAAGCCACCTGCTGACATTCACATGCCATTGTTCCTTGCTTTTCTTATTTCTATTTTTCATGCAAGATCAAGCCATGTGATAATTCGGTTATTTCAGCTGAATGTGACAGTAGCAGTGTAGCAGTTCTCTCCCACAAGGCTAGAAATAGCACAAGCATTACAAAATCCACATCTCAAGGGAACTGAGTGGTCACAGAACCAAACACCTCATTTTGTGGACCCTGCATAAAGAATTGCTTTGGGAGTTGTCTGTAACATAGGCCTACCTCAAAGTTTAAAGTATTTAAGCTCTCTAAGACCTCCAGTACTGCTTGTGAGAAAGACTACAAAACAGTAAGGACATGAGAAGAGCTACATCCCAAAGTAGATCAAGGCGATTAAGAGGACAAATATTAATGTGACGTCTGTATGTGCTATAATGCAGCCTTTATATGCCAAAGGATATGAAACAGTTTGTGAAGAACAGTGGGGTCCAAAAGACTGAGACCACCACTAGTTAAAAAATATTAATAAAAATTATTAATATTAATATTTATTTATTACAAATTATATTATCAGTATAATAATTTTGTAACGCCCCTGTGGACTGTTTGTTGTGGTTTCTTCCCTTTGTGTTGGTTTAGCCCATCTAATCATTAGTTAATCACCGTTGAGTGGAAAGTTAAATTGAAAATGATCACGAATTTCAGTTTTTCTGTTTGTCCCTTTTGTTTTTTTGACAGCAGCATTCAAGCTGATCAGTGTCAAAAAATTTACTAATTTTTTTCACTTTTTTAAATTTACAAATGTAGTAGTGACCTAGAAATAGTGCAGAAAATTGCTTATTAATTTTGGCACATTTCATCAGAAGACCTACTGTACACACCAGTGTATCCCAATTAATAAATCTTAATTGTACAGTAAACAATTAATTGTTAAATAAAGCACAAATTTTATGTTTTTATTATATGAATTATCTACTTTTGTAATGAGCAAACTGTGAGGTCTGTTAAACAGTCCTTCTCTGACATTATGAAAAAAAAAACAAATAGAATAAAAGAATAGTAAAAAGAATAGTATTTATTTTATATTATAACATTTCTTTATTATAGATATTTATTTTTTTATTTCTGTTTTTTTTATTTTATTTAAATGATATTTTGGTAACACTTTATTTTACAGTGTCCTTGTTACTTATAGTAATAACACTAAATTATTCATAATTACACAGAACTAACACTAAATTTTATATTTAATATATATTTAATTAATACTCGATACTTAATTGTATAATTACACTGTTACAAGGACACTTTAAAATAAAAGAGTTAAGGCCTGTTCACACCAAGGACGATAACTATAAAGATAGCGATAAATATATAGTTCTAAAAATCATTCTCAATATTAAAGAATAGCAGAGTCCACACCACAGCTATAACGATAAAGGCACAGAGAAACGATATCGTTGGAATCACTTTCAGAACAATTTTTTCCAGCTGATGAACGATAAAAACATTGACAGCCCAACATTGACAACGAGCTCGAGAATTTAAAGCGGCAGACGAGCGTGTGCTTGGATTAAACAGACGATAGCGTCCGCTGGTGTGGACGCTAATATAGTTGTCTATAGTTATCATCCTTGGTGTGAACGGACCTTTACACTTTATTTTATGCTGTCCTTGTTACAGTGCAACTGTATATTTAAGTACTGAGTAATATTAATTAACAACATGTAGGGTTAAGAATAACGCTTGGTTTAGGGTTATTGCATGTAATTGTGCATAATTTACTGTTATAGTAAGTACATGTAATCTGTGTAACAATGACACTGTAAAATAAAGTGTTACCAAATAAAGTATAACTAACATTTTTAATCCAAGAATTTAATTTTCAAACTTTTGGATCCCACTGCTTATCATGAGCATATTTTGTGCATTTGTATGAAAAATGCAAAAAAAAAGGAAGCACCTACCTTAGTGTAAACCCCCCAAGACAGTTCAGTCTCTGTTACCATGACAACGATCCCAAACATACCGAAAATCAGGGCATAGTCACTAAGCCGCTTGCGCTTCTCAAAAAGTGCCCTCCTGTGGCCCAACTTGTAGCCAATATCTTTATTTTTTTTCTGTGGTGCATTGCCACTCTCTCGGACCAGGCTCTCATTGGACGCCTCGCTGGGGTCCTCGCCACCGCCCTTAGAGACAACCACTTCCAGGCCGGAGCTGTGAAGAGTCTGGAGCGGCTGGGTCTCAGAGTCATGCTCTGCTAGGTTGCGTCGTGACGCTGCCAGGCTGCCCAGTGGCCTTACCACTCCTCCATTGTACTTGCAGCTGTTCATGGCTATCTGAGGGAGTGAGTGACTGCTCTCGGTGAGGGAGGGCTTGGATCCAGCATGGCTCAGCTTTGCACGCTCAGCATGTACCTGTCAGCAAAAATCAAATACAGACAAACAGGTGTCAGCAGCATATACACTGAAACCCAGCATTAATCTACTCTGTTGGCACTGCTCCATGACCAGAGTGTCCCATGGCACATTTCATCAGAAGACCTACTGCAGCATCTTCACACCACAGTGTATTGTAATGACTAAATCTTAATTGTACAGTAAACTAATTGATGAATAAAGTATAAA